CGTGGCCGTCAGAAAGCGATTGTGTAGGTGCGAAAGTCGCATTGTCCAATCCTGCCGACGCGTCGTCACACGAGGGCGACCGCTTCGGGTACGGTCTGCAACCCTTTCGGTAGATGAGACGGCAAATGTTCGATAGATGGACTCCAAAATGATTACCGACCTGATTTTGCAGGGTACCTTGCAATGGCACGACCCTTGTCAACTTCGGAGAGTCGTGGCATTTTTTACGTTGAACTGTTTATGCTTAAAATGTGGGAAATCAAGACGGATATGTCTGAAGATTCGCACACACAGATCTTGAACGAATCCTTTATACTGGGTTCGAGATATCGCGCTTTTGTCTCTTATTCTTTTGTACAAGCGGCGTGCGCTGTTTAGTTATGCATTAGTGATTTTAACACGGTACCATAGGAACCTAACTCAAATGCACACATTTGTCAAGTTTCAAGGGTGAACGTCAAGGATTTAATTTACAATATCAAATTTCTGCTAATTGCGTTTCTTCTTCCTCTCAGTATAGTACTACAACTATGCACAAAATAATTTCGATGTTTGTAAGTTATTTACAATCACTGTTTTACCGTATATCCACGAAGCATGGTACAGGATGATGTCACAGAGTTCCTTGACAAGAAATTGTTCAAAATCTTCCACCTGAATTCGTAATTAATTGGTTTATTTTCAGAGCGACATGAACAGCGGTCACACTGGACAGTCACATCCACATCCATATCTATATACCGAGTTTATAAACAACGTTTATTTGACCGGGAAGAAAGAAAGTGCATTCTACTCAATGAGAACGATATAGAAGACGAATATAGTTTTATAATTAAAGTGTTATGGAGATTTTCGTACCAATTTTATCATGTAATATTATTTCAATCAGACTAGTACGTTTAAATTCATTCAGTTGCTCAAAGTAAAAAATATAAAGCAACTGAATAAAGATGGTAAAAGTGTGTGTTTTTGTCCTTTTAACTGTTATTTATCCAATAAGTAGTATAACTTAAGAAAATAAATTGAAATTGCCGTATGTCAAGACAGCATAAAACCTTCACGTACAATTGATAACAAACTTTGTTTTTACCTTGGTGTCTATTTCAGTATGACTATATCAAAAGCTTAGGACGATCGTGTCAAAATATTGGTCACAGTGCGGGACCGGTCAGGTGTTTAAGTCATATAGAGGACAAAACAGACACGAGGCAAGCGTGTTCGACAAGATTGCGTGAATGCAAACTGCTTTAAAAGGATGTGAATTCAGAACCTCTATCAGTCCACACGTGCTCCTGCCTACCTACAACTCACCATGAAAGCCGCAATCACTCTCCTCGTCTCTCTCGTTGTCATAATGACAAGTAAGTAAAATCTAGATTCTTCAAAGAAATTACTTTCAGTACTGTAAACTCATTAGAACATTCGATATACACAGTATACTCAACTGTTTGAAGCAGCAAAACATCATTAGCTGTGAAAGTTTAGAAAAAAAAAACAAAAACAAAAAAACAACGGTTGATTATATTTGGTTTATAGAAGATTGATCTTTACAAAATCTTTGACTCTCGTTAACAACAATTTCCTAACCTAATATATCTATTTTGAAGTGATTTTCATGTGCGATATATCTTTGTTATTTTTGCAAGATTTCATATGTTATTTTTTCGTCTCAGAATGATAGAGATAACAACCCCATGTACATAGTGTAAACTCAGCTGTTATGTCTGTATCTTGTAACTCAACTTGCAGAACAAATAGCAATACATACCTTGTATATATTTTTTTTATCAAGCTGTAGTTTTATTGATCACAGATTTAACTTCAGTTCCATTTAATGTATTTTAATGTCAAAGAGGTTTGGCTCTTTACCGTGATGGAGCACCAGTTTCACTTCATCACCTTGGTTGATTATTTATTTTATTTGATTTTATGGATTTCACGTCCATTTTTATAGCATTTCGACCATTCAGTTGAAGAAAAAATATGAAAGTGAGTAGAGAGAAATAGTATGAAGCAATGGAAAAGAATGGGATACAGAAATGTGGTAGAGAAGGGCCAACTCTACTTCTTCTAAAATTATAACTTTGAAGACGACCTCTCGCGGGACAAATTATAAGCTCTAACCTAACTATAAAGTACGTGACTAAAGATAACAAGTTCACGTGCTTTTGGAGTCATAGTGTCCAAATATAGAACATGTACGTCCGAAAAATAGTGTGTACGATTAAAGCCGGAAAATACAGAAGACAAGGCAAAACAAAAAATTAATTCAATAGATGGATAACTCCTCAATATGTTAACTTTTTATAATGCTGAAGATACTTTGATAATTAAGATGGCATTCCACTATGTCTCCACCATTATCAACAATGTCACTAGCACTATCATGTAACTAACCGGCTGCATTCATTACCACCAAAGATAATAGGTCGGGGTTTGGCCAATAATTGCCCCAATGCATACGGATTTGAAAAATTAGATTAAAGGGCACTGCAGCTAAAAAAGTCTATTTAAAATGTGTAGTGAAAGAAGAAACCATGATGTCTGATAGTAATGTAGAGATCATCGACGTTTTAATGGTAAATTCAATATCGGAAGCAAAAGCACTTAACATTTTTGACGCTTTCTCTTTCGGAGCACCTGGTATTGTTCTCCTTGTGTTTTTTTTTATTGAATTGATTTAGGAATATGATTATGTTGACATGTTGGTATTACATGTTTTTTTATGTACTTTCTGACAGTGACAAGTTTTATTTTAAGGCAAAGCAATCTAAGCTATGAACAGTATGAAATGAAGCGCTATATACTGTTTCAATATTCATCATACGTACCACCTGTTTACATCAGATTAAACGTATCAAATACGCTATATGTTACGCAGAAAGTAAGTTGAATTAATATATATATAAAAAAAACAGAACAGAACAGGTCAGAAAGAACGTCCGGAATCGATCATAAGACTCCCTGATAGCAGGTCTATCGTCTGGGCTACCTGTGCTTTGGACTCTGATAGAGTTGATCAAAACTGAAAACACAAATTTGTAACTATTTTGGGTGTATTATTTTCTAAAGTAGCAACTTTAACTATCTGCACAAAAAATATATCACCCATATCAAAGTTATATAGAACTTATTAAAATCACCGATGTTGCCAAAATATTAAATTTGTTTTCATTGTTAGACATGTTTTAATCAAGCTAATCTCTATCAAGCCGTATCTCTGTTTCTAACCCGACATGTGACAAAATTATATCTTGAATAACAGATAGTAAGCAGTAAAACATTGAAAAAGAAAAATAATTTCGCTGAAAACCGTACTACTAATCCTAACATTGATGATTCTTTAGAGATAACTAATAAAGTAATTTATTAGTGACACACACTACATTTATTGTTGGTATTACCATTTTAGTAAACGCAGCGACTGGTGCTGATATTTCTTGCGTCGCCAACAGTGATTGTGTTGCTCCATGTCAAGGTCACACCAATGCCCATGGCCATCACACGGTCGCTCCTACCTGTACCGATAGCCGGTGCCATTGTAGAGTCCATCAACCTTGTACCGGTACTCAGTGTAACGACCAGTGTGTCGGTGGATTTGTGGGGACTTGCCATCACAGTCACTGTGCTTGTATGTTTATTATAACCTATATGATAGTATATACAAAATTGAAAATCAAAAGATTCTTTAATGTATCATTTAAGTTAAACAAAAATACTATTGTTTACATTGGAGAAAAGAAATCTATAAAAGGTATATGCGTTAATGTGTTTCTTGTTACTGCAGTGGAGTTTTATCTCTCTCGTATGGCATTCTGTATGTTTCTATGATATTTTTTGAGTTATTTTCCTCTCATGAATTTTGATTTATAGGTACATTTTAGGCGAAAATTACTAACTACAAACTTGTTTTTACAGGTCACCATGCTCATTGATAAGCCTACCGCGGTGAACACCTCTAGTGATGTGTTAATAATCTGATTAAATAAGACTTAAGAATTAATCTTTGTGTTGATGTTATCACTGAAGTAATTACTTGAAATAAATTCTGGAAAATTATGTTGATAATATAATTTTATGAGCCGAGTCTTGAAAGTACGATATTCTTTAAAAGGGGGACTGGCATTAGCAACAGATATATTACTTAAAACTGGATATTTGAACAACGAATCTGCCGGCAGCGGATTGAAGATCCGTTATTCGAATTCCAAAAACACTGAATACATAAATTATATCAATGACAGGACTAAAAGTCACATAATAATGACTGGAGATAAGTATTCCAAAGTTACATATGATATATTTAACATAATGAATCTCCAATCATAAAGCTGTACAAGTGCTTCACACTATTTCATCATCAGCCAGACGTTAACAGGTATCCCTGGAATTGAGCTTCTGGAATTAAATCTAAGACTTGAAATAATCAGATTTCAAAACAAACATACCCCCAAACCAGGATCAGATCCATGAACCTACAAGTACATGCGAGTTTTCCATAATAAACCTTAAACTTGGATCAGATCCACGAACCTACAAGCACATGCGAGTTTTCCAGAATAAAACACCTAACTTGGATTAGATCCACGGACCTTCAAGTACATGTGAGCTTCCGGAAAAAAAATAAAACTAGGATTAGATCCACGGACCTTCAAGTACATGTGAGCTTACGGAAAAAAAAATAAAACTAGGATTAGATCCACGGACCTTCAAGTACATGTTAGTTTTCCAGAATAAAAACCGAAACTAGGATTAGAACCACAAACCTCAAGTACCTGTGAGATTTCCGGAATAAAACCCCAAACTAGGATCAGATGCACAAACCTTCGTGTGAGTGTCCGATATAAAATCAAAACACTGAAAGACTAAACATGTTGATAGTATATATATTTGCAATTTTACATGCCTAACACTCACACATGGCTATAGAAGATGACTTTCAACGGCCAAGTTTAAAATTTTGAATACATTTTCCATCAAAAGAATCAAATCTGCGCAAAATGTACAACTCTCAGAAACAATCTAAAGTTCCAAATCAAGAGATTACCACTGACATTGGTAAGGAATATCGAATCCAGAATAAACCTTTAACAACAGATTATAAATTGTTTATTTTGCTACCGTAAAACTCACGCGTAAAGCGCCCAATTTTTCTTGGAAAATTCAAGGTCCAAAGTGGGATTGCGCACATTATGTATCGATAGGTCTTATTTCGTGGAAAGATCAAAGGTTTTGCGAGGACGGCATAAGTGATTTTCGGAATTATCTGGTACGCAAAAAATTATGAATGAAAAAATAAATAAAAACAATTACTGTATATATTAATAAATATATTAACAAACCGAGTTGACATCATCCAAATAAATTCAGAACAGTATTTTCCAATCGGTAAAAGCAGTGACCTGTGTGGAACATTGGACAAATTGTCGATTATATATGACTGTCTTTTTTGTTCACTTGTCGGATTGTGTATTGGCATCGAATTTTCTGACTGCGTATATATTAGTTATCAAAATCGGCCTCATTGATATTTATGAAACATATCTGTGACTCTTATGATTATAATAATTACGTATTCGTCATCACAAGGACAGTCTTCGCGCAATACCTTATCAAAATGTGTGGTGAAAGTCCGTTACTGTTTGACAAAGTGTCTCAAGGCTATAGAGACAACCGCCGAGACGAAGTTGTCCTTGCACGTCTTCGGATGGGTCATACATACCTTACACATTCATATATGTTGAAAGGCGAAGATAATCCTAGGTGCATAGGATACGATGAGCCATTCACCGTTAAACATTTTTTATTGGACTGCAGTGACCTTCTGTCTACTCGTGAACGTTTTTACCGTAACATGACATGTCTAAAATCGTTTTGAAACTGTTGAGATTTGTAAAATTCTACATAACCTGAAAGATGTTGGCCTATATAATAGACTATGACGTACCATTTTAATCTTTTGTGTTCAACATACGCATTTAAGATTTTTAACATTTGTCTTTTACCTTTTGGTTCGTTTAATGTTATTTCTTTTCGGATCACTGTGTGTTTTACCGTTTGATGGCCCTTATGACTTTTTATGTGTTGACGGGCCGTTAAGAATGTAATAATAACAATAACAATAATCTTTGACAAAGTACACTTGCCTACATTCCACACTGGGCAAACCGATCGCTTGCAATACAGGTTGGGACCTCCATTTGTTTTGCTGATGCACGACGTGACAGCGGTCTTGAAAGAAAACTTCACCTACACAGATCGCAACTAGTGGTACGAGGATTATAAAACAAAGATCGCTTATGTGTTATATCATTCCCGTTTAAATCAACATTTCACAAGATATAAAATTTCAAAATTATTATATTAGTAAAATCTTATCTTGTATATAGCAAAACATGAATATGAAGTATCCAAAACTATAGGCAGAAAATACATGTTGCCTTAAATAATTATGTCAAGTAACCAGTTATAAAAGATATCAATATTATATCATTAATTTTATATATGTTTGACAAGTTAGACATGTTCAGTGTGGCTTCCTTGATCATTCATCATTTTATGGATCATTCATCCTTGTTAGAAATGTATTATGGTTCACTGATGACGCTGCACACAAGTGAATACCGACGGCGATTGAGAAATATTTATCCGCAACTCAACCAATGTTTTCAAATATCACCATAAAATTCGGTACAAGGATGCTATCATATCAAAACTACAACTTCTGATGTCTCTAACTTCTTTGAGTATTTAGACAAAAGTGTCTGAGGGCGCATCACGTTTTCCAATTATATTTGTATAAAACTCTCACTATGGTAAAATCGTCAGAATATTTAGTATTTTAAAGGCATATTCCTCACAAGTTAGGATTTCATTGGATGTGCAAAATCATCTACTTATGTTCTTATGGAAATTTTACCACCGGGTTTACTGTTTAAACAAACATGCGTAATAACATGTTTGCGTTGTTAGAATATAGGTTCTCACAGCTCATCCAGCAGAAGATTGGGTGTGACGCTTCGCACTGACTTACGTAGTGTACGAAATAGCAAGGAATCCACTTTTTCGACTGTATTATAATCCTATGTACAATAAGGTCGAAAAGAATGTGACAAGTTGGTAAACAGATTGTAGACCAAAGATGCACAAGATGGTAACAATGTACTATAATCTATGTAACAAGGGCTGTGAATGTCCACATAGGCGCAGTTTATCGTCTCTACATACGCCTTAGACTGACTGATGCAACTGCTGACTGCCTGCGAACAGGCAGACCGAAGGCTACAACACCTGACCAACATCGTTTCCTGATGTAGCTATACTTGTGCATCCGGTTTAGAATTGTAAAAAAAAAACCTGCAAATGAAACATCAGGGGCACACAACCCAAGTATAAACTGAGGCGTCTCCGCTTCAATGACATCAAGCCGCGTCGCGTTTGCAGTATGGATGCCTAACAATTGACATCATGTGACATCAGATCTGAACAGCTCCTTATGCAAAACTATGTGTCCGTCACCATAGCATGCTTGAGAAGTTGTTTTCAGGTAATCTAGCTTCAGAAGTTTTCGTTTTAACTTGTAATTGAAAAATGTGGAAATAAAGGGCTTTAGAGTAATGTATAGGAAATGGGTGGTATTTTGGAACTGAAAACACAGTGGGATGTTTGTTACGAGTTCAGCAGGGTGTTTTTCTCGAATAAACACGAACGGCTGTAATAGTACATGGCTGTGAACGATCATTTAGCACAAAGTATTTAAGGAAAAGACGAGATGTACTGAGGGTGAATTCGTGAAAATGATGGAATTTCTGGCTGAAAATATCTCAGTTGAGTTTGGTGGCAAGATCTTTCAACAGATTACTGACACACCTATAGCAAAACAAAGTTTTGTCCCTCTCTCGGCTGACTTGCTTTTACTTTCATTCCAGGATGAATTTAGAGCTTATCCAAACGCCTTGTAACTTCTGAAAATAAATAAAAATGAATTAAATAAACTCCTTCTTTTTCACAAAAATTGCGAAACTATTTTTTCCAACTGACATCAATCACTCTTGTTGGCCAAGGTGGAAGGATGCAAGGGTCTTACTGTGGGGCCCGCCTGGTCGGGCAGGTGACCCCATACCTTTTCATGTCCGTTCAGGTAATCGAACCTCCGATGTCTAGGTGAAAGGCGAGTGTGTTACTACTGCGCCAACCGACCATCAATAATGATTGGAATACAAAGAACCGTGATCACATTTCCACGGAATTTTTTTCAACTACGAGTTTCTCTGTCTAGTAACGTTAGCAACAACGTTTCAGAACATTTCAGTCATTGTTTTTTTTCATCCATATCTTATCTCTAACTCTATCAGTTTGACACAAGCAAAAATTAAAACCAGCTTAAAATTATTTTAATTTCAGAATTAAAGTATGTGCTGAATATTTATATTGATATCTATATCATAATGAATGTATATTGAAGTTCACATAAAGAATCTGTATTGGCGGAGTTTCATCTTTACACTTTTACTCTCTGGATACATTAGTGATCTTAGATGTTAAATACATGTACATTGGTGCGTCCACACAGGGAATACTGAACTCTATTAGCAGTCGTGTGCTTTCTGAATAATTGTTGACAACGAAGACACAGATAAGAATATTGAACTCGACGCCTACAATTGTTCACGTGTATTTTGCACGAAATACAGGGTTAGCTAATGATGCACGTGGATATCTATGGTAAGCATATGATTCCATTGTAACAATGTCATTCGTTTTATATGCGTTTACCGTGTGGGTTACATAGTGTCCATTACCAGGTTTGTTTACAAATTTCCTTTGTATGTACTCTATCAATTACAACATTGCTTTAGCCAGTCTAGATCCTGTGAAGCACAACTTATTAAATGCATTGAAGATATTTCTAAAAAAGTTGAATTCTTTATTTCTCTAAAGTGTTTGATAAAGTCAGTCACAATATCTTATTTCATAAACTACATTATCCATGGTTATCAAATGGATTGGCAATACTCGACGAAGAACTTCTTCCTATGTCCCAGTCGAGTCAGGGGCCCCCAGTGATGTTTCTCAAACATAGTTTTCCCCTTTACTTAATAAATGACATCATCTTGACCTCTCCTCCACATTAAATTGGTTCGCCGTCGAAAACACAATGTATATCATTGTCACTTCTAGTTAGGATGTTTCAGTTCAAAACAACAACAACAACCAAAAAAAAAAAAAAAAACAAAAGTTTTAATATATATATCCGACTGGAAGAAAAAACCTGAGAAAATGTTATTCCTTTCCCAAACATGTGATGTCCTCTCCATCTCCAGAAACAAAAAGCCGACAAACTACTAATATTATTTACGCCGCTACTGTCTTCAATAAACTGATAAGGCCAAATACTTTACCAGGCGTAATAGTGCACGAACTAAAATGGGAATCCCAACACATGTTACAAAGCTACCAAATCTTTGGACTTTTTTCGACACGATTTTAAAGTTACGGGCTTATAAGTGTGTCTATCTTTGGAATATTCTTGTACTCTGTGAGGCCCACGCCAAAATGGTGACATTCACAAATTAGATAAGGTGCAGCGAAGTGCGAGTCGTTTGGGCACTAACAGAAATCACAATACTTCTAGTGTTATAGAGATGTTTGAATATCTTCAATGGTCGCGCTTATCTCCCAGACACATGGATGACCGTTTAATTATAATGTGCAAAATATCTCACAGCCTTGTTGCTAACAATAAAAACCTCTACTTAAAACCAGACAAAACCGTACAAACATGTCAACATAACTATGCGCTTAACTCAAATTAAATAAGATTATGACAAACTATGAACAAAAGAGATTTATACAAAGGCTTATGAAAAAGTACATAGAGAAGAAGATCACGTGTTCTGGAAGAGTAAGCGTTTTCAACTTCATATCACGCCATGTAAATCTTGGCCAATCCAAGGAAGTAATGACATGTTCTCATATGGGAACAGGGTAAACAACAACGGAATCTACAGGCAAATTAACGAGCATAAAACCTGTCCAGCTTCCCATCACACAATTCTGGCAGCAATTTCTCCACCTTATTTATAATAAAGAACAGATAACAATAGCTTAGTAACATGAGAAGAAATGTCATAAACGCCTTGTAACTTCTGAAAATATAAAATAAAAAAAAATGAATTAAATAAACTCCTTCTTTTACACAAAAATTGCGAAACTATTTTTTCAACTGACATCAATCACTCTTGTTGGCCAAGGTGGAAGGATGCAAGGGGTCTTACTGTGGGACCCACCTGGCTGGGCAGGTGACCCTATACCTTTTCATGTCCGTTCAGGGAATCGAACCTCCGATGTCTAGGTGAAAGGCGAGTGTGTTACTAATGCGCCAACCGACCATCAATAATGATTGGAATACAAAGAACCATGATCACATTTCCACGGAATTTTTTTTCAATTACGAGTTTCTCTGTCTAGTAACGTTAGCAACAACGTTTCAGAACATTTCAGTCATTGTTTTTTTCATCCATATCTTATCTCTAACTCTATCAGTTTGACACAAGCAAAAATTAAAACCAGCTTAAAAATTATTTTAATTTCAGAATTAAAGCATGTGCTGATTATTTTACTAAACGTTTCAGTGCAAGGTAAGAAATTACATTATCACAGTAATGATCACTAAATTCAAAAAGACTTTCTTATATAACGAATATTTTACAAAACATTTAATTCATATACTTTATTCATCTTTTTCTATCTGATTGCGGATTGTTAGCCAAAGTTACAAATGATCTAGATTACAATTTTTGAAAATTTAATCCTATTATTTTTCAGTCCTTACGGCGAGACAGAAATGTTTGACATGTTCGTACATTTCACATCCATGGTTCTGTGACAATTATACTCACTGTGAAGACGGAGAGGTAAACAGTGTCACGTATTACTTTACACACGTGCATCCTAAAATGATACAAACATACGTGTATCCTTAAACATTAAATACACACATGCATCCTTAAACATGACATACACGCGTGCATCCTTAAACATTACATACACATGTCCTTCCTTAAACATAAAATATCACGTGCGGTCTTAAAAATTACATACACATGTGCATCCTTAAACATAAAATATCACGTGCGTCCTAAAACATGAAACACACATGTGAATCGTTCAACATTAGATACACATGTGTGTCTTAAAAAAATTACATACACACTACATTCTTAATCATTACATACACATAACAATGCTGTAACCTCAAACATATTTGGAATTCATTTTTATGAGATATATCTTTGGTATTTTCATGAAAACATAAATGAATTCGTCTCAGAATGGTAGAGAAAACAACCCTATGTACTAGTGTTAACTCTGCTGTGATGTCTGTATCTTGTAACTCAACTTATAGAACAAGTAACAAGAAGTATATATTTTATAATATGTATACTTTTCAGAGGCGTAGCTAGCCCAGCAGAAATGTGTTTGAAGGTCAGGGGTGTGGGTTAGGAGTTAACACCATTGAGAGCGTTAGAAGTTAAAAAGGGAAATCTTCGTTATAAATGTCTTTGAGAAATGAAGCCTTTTTAAGCCTATCAATGAAAAGGTAATATTTTTTTTTCTTTTTAAATTTACTGTACTACACCCCTGCCAGATTTAGTATTGTTCCTCCTGTAATTAAAATGTGGATGTATTGTAGGAGATACGGAACCTTAAACTACTGTCTTTTACTTTTCAGTGACCAACGACATACCATTATGTTGGAAAATAATTCTAAGAAATCCATGGATGTTTCATGTGTTACTTTGCCTTGACGCGTGCAGTCATGATATATACTTTACAGCGAAATGTTGTCAAAGAGTTATCGTTTGTTTCGTTTAAGCTACGCTATACAAAATCAGTATTCCGTAACGTATCTATCATTTATAGATTTTATCAAACGTAAATAGAACAAACGTGTTTCAAGAAGTGTCCATGCATTTTTTCTCTAGTTCATACCTTTGCCCCAGTTTCATCGAGTTTGACTTTGAATCAAACTTCCGTTGCCATGTTGACAAAAATGTATTTCAGCCTTTTTTTCTTTATTATTCTCATAGATTTGCCACATCCGGAAAATGATTACACACAACGGCCATATCCAGTATACTTCTGGTTGTGTAAGTGACAAAGTAGGTATTCACGAACTATTACCATGGAATTCTATCAGCCAGGTTTTATAAAACGTGATATTTCTTAATGTATATTTCGTATTTGATAGGATTCTCTTCTCCTATTTCCCTATCATCAATCTTTACATAGCCTGGTATTCGGGCTACATTGGTAAACTGGGTGTTTCTCATATGTAACTCTAAAATGTTACATGATCAAACAGAATAGATATCTACGTAATTTTACACAATCGATTTTCAGTTGGTCCTACGTATACCTATACATGTAATACACACACACGTGTCAGTCGAAATATTCCACTCATTCTAGACAATCATTGTGCGCTGTTAACGTCTGTTTATATGCAATTACACTTTTTTCCAGAGCTGTTCAGTAGACGGGTCATTTCATGGATCATTCGGCACGCCCTACGGTCATGTCGCGTGCGTTGAGTGTTGTCATGGTGATTTCTGTAACAACAAAGGGTGTGGAGATCCAGGTATTTACTTATAACCCCGTAAAATATAACCTTAAACTCATGGACTGATCGATTCGTTTCTTTGCGATTTTATTTAAAGAAATAAATGGGGAGGGGATTAAGTCTTCAGGTCTTCAGATGAATTCAAAATGTAAAAGCATTACATGTGCAACGTTATACACAATGTTCATACACAATACAATTTAAAGGTTAGGTTTGTTATCGACATAAGCGATAGTAACACGGACTTAGATACATATAGAAGTCCGTTATATTAGCAAGGAGATATTACTTACAAAATGTAAACTTCAAATTGACGAAATGTCTTAGAAACATGGACATTTATGAAGTGTTTCGATACCTGTAGCGTGCATAAATAATACGTTTTTAAGTGAAGTCCCAGGCAGAGGCAACTAGAACACTAACCATTGTGTCGAGCACAGAACATGTGTAATAACTTCACATGACAACATAATTAATGACGAAATGTCTTAGAAACATGGACATTTATGAAGTGTTTCGATACCTGTAGCGTGCATAAATAATGTGAACACTAACCATTGTGTCGAGCACAGAACATGTGTAATAACTTCACATGACAACATAATAAAATACTATCAGAGAGGTCATAAAGGTCACCATCAATAGGCAAAAATTAAAACCATTAATGTTCTAATTCTGTTCTCTCAAACGAACATAGATTATCATCATCTATATCGCATACAGTTTATTCAAGTAAATGTACAATAAAATTGGCACCACTTTTAGATACATCCGTCTCGGGCAAGATTCACTTAAAGTTCGTCTTTCCTCTCACAAATGTACCTGTAGGCACACCTGATACGCAGAACATAACACATCTGGATAACGTGGCTACTGGAAAAGCAAGACATACAAAACTGCTCATTCAATCACATAAACGGGGGTTGGTGGAATTGGGTGGGTGAGTGGGAAGTCCTGTCTGATCGAAGGCTAAGCGAACACAGACACCTGGGCCCGTATTCATGCTTGAGCATGAGAACGGTTTCATGAATACGGGCCCTGTACTTGTCAACACTGCCGAATGTCTATCTATCTCACGTGCGCTAGTAGCGGCACGTACGAAAAATGCAACGGCCTTTACCATGCATGTTGAGATAACCATGATAAATAAGGTATAATAAGTTTGATTTGTTATCAGCTGATATTAGATGGTGTTAGGGGAACAAGACATCGAATAATCAACTGCGGCACGTCAGTGGTATATTTTTTTGTGAGCCGTAATGTTGCAGTCAAGGAGTGGAAAGTTCACGAAAGGAAAATTTAGTGGTATGATGTCATTATAAGTAAAAAAAATGTACTTTATGTTGAAATACATGTATCAGTTAAAACCTTAAAGAAGATATATTTGAAATATTGAATATGTTACTATATACTTTAACTTTGAAGGATTATACTGTTGTAAACAGTAATTAAACAGTTATATTACGAAATATATATATCTATATAGATATGTGGTTTATTATCATGAGTATATCTTCAATTAAATCGTGGTTCTCTTTTCATCGATATTACAAAAGAGTTCATATCATATGAAAAACGTAAAACTCACTCAAACAGGTGGTAAAATATAAAATAAGTGATTATCTGTAACAATACCATTATCAAAGTAGCATGACGGGAAAAAATACCAATTATTGAAAGTAGTTTATAAGAACTAAGCATTAAGTACGTTAGACTACCTTCTATTACTAGGACCACCGTCACGTGCTACCCGTGGGCCATTATGTTTCCAGTGTGAGAAAATGACGTCACCAAGCGATTGTCGGACTCTCGCGTCATGCAGCTCGGACCAGGTGATGTAGTGTTTGCTTAGAGTTCGCTAAGGTGACCAACGATGATATGGTAACATATGTTAACTATTTCTAGCAATTATAAATACAATACTACTTCAATTTGTTTCTGTTAGTAAATGAAATCCAACAGATGATTTACTGTTAGAACGGTACTGTGAGTTCTTCTGAAGGTCACAACAACTTAGATGTCAATTCACCTAATATTGGTCAATAAATCGTTCACCAAACATCCCGCTTACAAGCTTCAAACATTTTTGAAAACTTTGGTGAGTAATCCATTCTCTCTCAATAAGTTGTTTGGTAAGTACAATCTATTCTCTCTAAATTAGTTGTTTGGTGAGTATAATCCATTCTCTCTAAATTAGTTGTTCGATGAGTATAATCTATTCTCTCTAAATTAGTTGTTCGATGAGTATAATCTATTCTCTCTAAATTAGTTGTTCGATGAGTATAATCTATTCTCTCTAAATTAGTTGTTCGATGAGTATTCTCTCTAAATTAGTTGTTCGATGAGTATAATCCATTCTCTCTAAATTAGTTGTTCGATGAGTATAATCTATTCTCTCTAAATTAGTTGTTCGATGAGTATAATCTATTCTCTCTAAATTAGTTGTTCGATGAGTATAATCCATTCTCTCTAAATTAGTTGTTTGGTGAGTATAATCTATTCTCTCTAAATCAGTTGTTTGGTGAGTATAATCCATTCTCTCTAAATTAGTTGTTCGATGAGTATAATCCATTCTCTCTAAATTAGTTGTTTGGTGAGTATAATCTATTCTCTCTAAATTAGTTGTTCGATGAGTATAATTCTCTCTAAATTAGTTGTTTGGTTCTCTCTAAATTAGTTGTTCGATGAGTATAATCTATTCTCTCTAAATTAGTTGTTTGGTGAGTATAATCTATTCTCTCTAAATCAGTTGTTTGGTGAGTATAATCCATTCTCTCTAAATTAGTTGTTCGATGAGTATAATCTATTCTCTCTAAATTAGTTGTTTGGTGAGTATAATCTATTCTCTCTAAATTAGTTGTTCGATGAGTATAATCTATTCTCTCTAAATTAGTTGTTTGGTGAGTATAATCTATTCTCTCTAAATCAGTTGTTTGGTGAGTATAATCCATTCTCTCTAAATCAGTTGTTTGGAGAGATTAGAGATTTTATTTCGCTCAGTCACACTGAAGTGTGAAACAAGAGGTCACAATTCGTTACATTTATATGTTACATGGCAGGAGTACAACGGTGCAGCTAATTGTAAGCTTACAGACGGGATACTACAGACTCAGCTGATAGGCTGTTCTCGCCTAATCAAGGGGAGATAATCCAAGCCGATACAACCAGATAATTATATCGCCTTCAAGATCCCCTCAAGAGCCTGCAAAAAACCACAATCCTCTGAGCCTGTTTACATTACATATAGTCAGTAACCCTTTGAACTCTGTCATATCATGGTGAATAGTATAATAATTAGGTATGAACTTTCTCCTATTATTTTGTATGGCTGGATTTTCACACAAAAATAAATAATGATATTCATCACCTACGCATAACCTGTCCTCTGTTCTTATACCTGTCCACCTACCAGTTTCTACTGGCAAGCGCATGTTGGAAGTTCTCAATTTACAAAGTAATTTCCTAATTTTAGGACCCATTTTCAACAAATAGGTTTCACAATCGAAATTCATTTTGTTTAAGGCATACACATTTCCCCTTGAAGCATTATTTATATGACTATACTACTTTTGAATGAATTGATCATGTAAATTCTGTTTCAGAATAACTTTTAGCTCTGGTAAACAAGGTAGATACTCTCTTTGTAAGGTCCATACATAACTTAAGCCTGATTCATTAAGTATATTCTGTACAAAAGAAATCCATTTAAATATAACAACATTATTTTCACGTAGTCTGAACATCAAGTTATACAATGTACTGGACAGTTTTTCATTACATGTTATCAATTTAGGCCAAAATAAAATTGTTCTGAGTTTTATATCAGATAACACAGGGAAACGCTCTGTTTCTCCATACACCATAAAGGAGGCAGTGCTTTTCCTTACATTCAGCAAACGTTTACAGAACTGAAGATGTACTCTTTCTATTATATTTACATTTTCAAAGCCCCATATCTCACATGAGTAAAGCAATATTGGCAAAACTAGAGTATCGAACATCTTAAATTGTAGGTTTACTGGTAATGATATGTTTCTTATCTTACGATAAACAGCATATAAAGCTTTGGAGCTTGATCACATAATCTATGTTTGGCATTTACAAATGTTCCGTTATAATTAAACAATACGCCAAGATAAGAAAAAGATTCTGTAATTTCTAGCTCTTTGCCATAAAGACTAAATGTAACATTTCCCTTATATTTCTGTTTGGAACATATTGTAATCTTTGTTTTATCGGTATTGACTGTTAACTTCCATTGATTACAAGATCTTTTAAAACTGTTCAAGGCAAATTGTAGTCCTTCAGGAGATTCTGCAAGGATGACAGTGTCATCAGCTTATAGAATAATACATACTTTTAGATAAATACTAATGTGCTCACGGCTAAGGCTATCAAGATGGTGAAGCCAATTTACATTGTTTTCATAAAGAAATAATTCAAGATCATTCAAGTACAGAGAAAATAAAAATGGTGACAAATTTTCGACCTGTTTTAAACCGACACTAGAAACAAACATGTCGGATAACTCATTTCCATTTTTAACACATAATTTCGTATTTTGGTAAAGATTATTTGGTGAGTATAATCCATTCTCTCGTAATTAGTTGTTTGGCAGATATAATCCATTCTCTCGGAATAAGGTGTTTGGTGAATATTCTATTCTCTCGTAATTCGTTTTTGGGTCAGTATAATCAATTTTTTTATAAACAGTTCCTTGGCAGGTATAATCCATTCTCTTTTACTCAGTTGTTAAGTTTTTGTATTCGCTCATAAATATTCTCCTGCAATAGTTGCAAGGTCATGGTCTTGATAAAACTATGAATTTCGATACTCAGGTATTTTTTTCATTACCTTACCTGTATGGTGTGTTTGAGACTACGGCGGTTTACCTGATATGTCGATAGGATGATTATGTAGAAAATATAAAGTTATTATTACTAGTAAAGAACAATCTTGATAAACATATACTATCATAAATAGACCTTGCTAAGTCCTTCGCTATCAGATATATAAGAGTACCTCGCTTTTCATCAATAAGAATTGTTGTTCACAACAAATCCCAAGCACAGGAAATAAAGTACACGCCAACTCTTATCTCAGTATTTTAAATCAATTGCTGCTACCAATGTACAACATCAACAGCTTTTTATCATGTTATGCAGTTTCCCTTTCTAGGTAGGAACATTTCCACTTTCTTAGACTAAATGCATGTTAGGTCTTGTTCTCTGTCAAAGACATCCACAGCTGATGAAAAAATACAACTTGGGTCATATGTTTTGAATGGCGCAAGTCGATGAAGACACCGGGTAATTTTCTAGTAGCCATCACGCCTCATCTATAAAAATCTATTACCCTGTGATCGGTGAAGTAGTATGTGTTCGGACTTGTAAATATATCTAAATGTTTCATTATCTTTGACTTGGTTCTCATCTTGAGAACATGGCATTGCTTGGATTTACCTCTATTTACATAGTGGGAGTCGTTGACGAAGATAATGGTAACATTTCCAGTTCACAATATCATATTCTTGTCCTGTTTACATGGGTACAGTACTCATTCAACTATTTCTCTCTGTATTCTTTCGCTGTCTTTTTATCGGTTTTGATAATTGTATATTGTAATCATCTTCTTTGTTATTGCAGGTTTGCAGCATTACAGAATCATTAACAGACAGTGGCTCGATCTTCACGACTGCGTGTGCCGCAAAAAATGTAAGATATAGCTACATATGTTTTCAGTAGTCACTTACGGCATACTTTTACCATAGAACAAATGAATATCATTCTAATTATTGCTCCAGGTCTAACTTAAGTGAACCTCTTTTTATATCATAGAGAACCAATCCTTTGAAGCAGGTCACTGGCCTACAGATAAACTTTAAACCGAAGAAAAATATTAAACAACAACTCTCAAAGCTGGAAAGTGTATAAACCACACAAAACCAATAACAGCATACAATTGTAAGGAGATATATCCTATACATTTTTTTTATTACCTGGGGAAATCGTTTCATGATAACATAACAAGTAGTTGTAATAAAGTTATTGTAATCAAGTTTGTGTAACCAAAAGGAATTTCTTCTTTTGATCATCAGACATGTCCACAGCCCCACGAAGTATTAGGACGGGACACTAATACGCCAAGAAAGAACAAGTCGCCGAGTCGCTGTCACTTCTGCTGTTCTGTTGACTATTGTAACACCGCGTGTCCACCAAATTCTTGAGGCTGTTACTATGTTACCAACTCGATTCTCCTTTATGAAATATAAAATTTGAATCAAGTCATTAAAAAGTACCTAATGGATCCTAATTTTGATGTTATTATATTTTGTCACTTTGATATTTTTCTCAGTCGCCTCCTAAGTTGAATAAACGATGCTCTTAGCATCGCTGACAAGTTCTAGAAGGACGAGACAGCTGTATGATGCATTTGAATTCATTATTTGACTGTACTCTATTCGATTCTAAATTTGTATTAAAAGGTGCTATTGAGTTATGTGCCTTTCGCATAATGTTCAAGGTTGCAGGTGGAAAACGGTGCTGGTCGACTCTTAGTCCCCCAGATTTGCCGTAACCTGCTTGTCGCGTTTGAATTAATTCGCACTGTGGCACAGTTCAGAAATTGTGCATGAATTTGCTTGTGAAATAAATATATGAAAATAACATGATTTATTCCATTATGTGGCTATTTCACCTCCCCACTTCATTCTGACATTTTTTTTTCTCGATCACTTTGGATTTTCCTCAGTCACCTCCTACATTTAAATTTTAAGCCCTTACTCTCATTGATGATTCATAGAAGGACGCAACATCTGATAAATTCATTATTTAGCACTACTGTACATAGCTCTGTATCAAAAGGTACACTTCACTGGTGTGATTTTTACACAATCTTTGACTTTGCCTCAGTTTAATTGGTTTTGGTTTTAAACAACATCTCGCTAACATATTGGCTTCTTTTATGCCCCGGATCGAAAACTTTGGGAGCATATTGTTTTTGTACTGACTGTTTGTCCATTGTCAATTTTAACCTTGCCCGTAACTATTGCCATGTAAGATGTAAGGCTTGCATATTTGGCATGTATGGCAAGCCGTTTTAACTTTTAATCCCGATTCCCCTTAACGTGAAATGTACATTAAATATATTTCGCTTTAGTGAAATTCTTTCGCCTTAAGGTAATAAAACTTCTTTTTTTCGCAAACAGAATTTCACTTAAGTGCAATTTGAATTAATAGTTTACATTTTGGCAATTCTCAACTGTATGTACATGTAGCATTACTACAGCTGTCCACTACTTCATATGCCCGTTGTCAACGAGCTGTTTGTTAGCATTCCAAGACAGTTTCACTTGGATCTAATTTAAACAATCTTTTAGTTCAATCCAACTTCATTGAAATAATTCAGTCGTCAAAATAGCCTTTGATCATCCAAATTACCTGAAAATGTTCATCAGTTGTCCACAGATGCACCCCTGAGGTGTTTGTAGTCAAGTTATCGACCTTAAGAATCTGTTTGACGGACTTGTGTAAGTCTACTGAATTTCGTTCACAATTAACTATATCGATGTACATGTGGCGATGTTCACTTTCTATCTCACATAAACCGCAAATTAACAGCATGGAAAATCGAAGTGGTTCTTCCTGTCTGTGCAACCCTCGCTAAAATGAAAGTAGATCTAATACGCAAATAAAATACGCAACTACGTCTCAAGTCCACATTAGATTTCCGGGTTTCAAGCGGTACGCAAGCACATGTTAAGATGGCGACCTTCATTTCGAACTTCGCAAGGGTGTATAGCAGAAGGCTTTCTTATCGCCTTCTTACAAGCCATCATGGGATTGCAAGCTTGAGTGCTGCTAGAAATGTTAAGTTGATGCAAAATCAGCATTTGCAACGCTGTCTGTCTCTATCATCAATACGGAAAATAGATATTAACGACGAAACTGACAAGCCTGTGTCCGTGCTCACTCAAAAAATCGCCATTTCAGATCAGAACTTTCCTCGCGGTCTATTCATAGGTAAAAGAGGAGACAACATACGAAAGCTTGAGTCGAGCTGTGGACCTGGATTCAGTATTGAAGCGAAACATGACTGTATACTCCTGTTTGGGACCGATGCAGAGGAAATGGAGAGTGCATCAGAAAAGGTGAGAAGGGAAATCCAAAGAATTGAGACAATAGCAGCAAGACAGTTAGACGATAGGCTAACAGAAGAACAGGACCCATTGAATACATTCAGTGAAGTGGTATCCACAGATGGGAATGCGGTTATGCATAAGCAAATTTGTGGAAGGCTTATTGGAAAAGGAGGATTCAAAATCCAGCAACTTCAATCAGAAAGTGGACTCGATTTTAGATTGGTCGCCCCCGGAAGTAATCATGTCGTAGTATCAGGGCCCGATACTGAAGTGTTGAATAAGGCAGTAAAATTAATTCAACAGGAGGTCCAAAGAATAAGGGATGAGATCAATTCTGCCTTTGAGGAAAAGTTATTTATAGATGAGGATGCCTATATTCATAACAGAATTTGTAGAATGATCATTGGAAAAGAAGGGAAGAACATCCAGCAACTGAAGTCCGAAATAGGATTCGATTTTAGATTGACTGTCCTAGAAAGTAATCATGTGTTAGTATCTGGGCCAGATGCTGAAGGGGTGAATAAAGCAGTAGAAAAAGTTCAACAGGAAGTCAAAAGAATAAAGGAGGAGATGGCTTTGAATTTTGCCTTCAAGGAAAAGGTGTTCACAGATGAGGATGCCGGTATCCATAACAAAATTTGTAGAATGCTCATTGGAAGAGATGGAAAGAACATTCAGCAGCTTCAATCAGAAACTGGGTTCAATGTTGATTTGACCACCGAAACATGTGGTCATATAATTGTATCTGGACATGATGCTGAAATGTTGGATGAAGCAGTGAAGAGAATTCAACAGGAGGTCCAAAAAATAAAGGATGAGATTGCTTTGAATTCTGCCTTCGAGGGAAAGGTGCTCACAGATGAGGATGCCAATATTCATAGCAGAATTTGTGGACTGTTGATTGGAAAAGAAGGAAAGAATATCCAGCAACTTAAATCAGAAACTGGACTCAATTTTGATTTGAACGTCAAAACGTGTGGTCATATAATTGTATCTGGGCCTGATGCTGAAATGATGAATGAAGCAGTTAAAAATATTCAACAGGAGGTCCAAAAGATAAGGGATGAGCTGGTTTTGAATTCTGCCTTTGAGGGAAAGGTGTTCACGGATGAGGATGCCAATATTCATAGCAGAATTTGTGGAATGATCATTGGAAAAGAAGGAAAGTTTATCCAGCGACTTAAATCGGAAAATGGACTTGATTTCAAATTGGTTGTCCCCGAAAATAATCAAATAATAATATCTGGGCCAAGTGCTGAAATGGTGAATAAAGCAGTGGAAACCGTTCAACAGGAGGTCCAAAAAATAAAGAATGATTTATTAGCATGCAATGGAAAGGTGTTAACTGATCCAGATGCAGCTGTTCATCATAAGATTTGTGGTATGTTAATTGGACGAGGAGGACACAACTTCCATCAAATGATGGCAGAGACTGGGTTCAAATTTCAGGTGATGACACAACAAACTGGTTATGTAAAAGTATTGGGGGCTACTGATCAAGAGTTGAACAAGGCTGTGGAAAAAGTTCAACAGCAGGTCCTGAGGATAAAGAATCAGATGGATTATTTCTAAGTCTTATAAACAAAATTACATAACATGTATAGTAACTAGAATACAGGATGATCAGTCAAAAAATACTTTTTCCTTTGATTTGTTAGAAGGAAAATGAGTGATTGTAAGATATGACCTAATTCCATCTTTTTATGACGCTGAGTTATTGTCTAATGTGATTAAGAATTGATTGTTATGTCATTAGTTTGCTTTGGCAATTCCATTGTTTCCTTATCACAATTACTCTTGAAAACAAATGACATAATACAATGAAGATGGAACAGATTTACCTTTTGGTCAAAATAAAACATAGTTGTGTTTCCTGCTACCTGACTGACCCTAACTTTTTACCTGCCACCCTTAAACATTTTATAGCATTTGTCTGGCCATATATTAATTACTGTAGATATTGTGTGGTTTTATAATAACAAACTTGGAATAAGCTTGAAGAGTTGTGAACAATTAGAATAGATATACAGGAGTATATTAGTAAGGGAGCTGAAAAAGTGGGCAGTCTATGAAAGATTTAAGTGTGATCTATATTGTAAATCAACAGATAAACGGAGATTAAATAACACTTGTATGATAATTAAAACAATGCTTTTGAAATGGAAAATTAAATAGTTGAAACTGTGACACTGTCACATCTATTGGGACCTAAAACAGCTGCAGACCTGCTGCGGTTAGGTTTTGATGTTGACGAGACACATTCACAATACTGGGTTTTCATACTATTTGTGTTTGGAAATGTAGACAAATTTGTTGATGTTGGTCATTGTAATTGTTACTATTATGGTTGTAGATTTCAAAACTGTAGAAAATTATTTTATTCTCGCTTATCTAAGCTAATTATTTTGTAACAGGAAACACAACTTTATGTATGGTTTTGATGAATATATTGTAATACTTGGTTTTCTTGTTGTTTGTGTTTAGAAACAAATCTTATTGATGTTGGTCATTATTATATCATTAAATTTAGAGTGACATTATACATGCTTTTCTAGTTATCTTTCAGCAAAATCAGAAACAAAAGCAGTTTAGGTTCTAATAATAAGCCGATAATCTGTTATACATATCCAAGTGTTACAAACAGTTTTCGTATTGTTATATATTTTGATATTGCAGAACAAACATGTTACATAAGAGAGCAATAGTTTGATTTAATGCAGTGAAGGAATGAAAAAAAAACTACATAATAAATGTGCATAATTTTGAAGATATGAATATATAACACCAAAGTTC